GGCATTTTGTATCGTGATTTGAAATTTTTTTTTTTGTCTCCGCCTCCCAAAGTGCTGGGATTACAGGCTTGAGCCACCGCGCCCGGTTTTTTTTTTCTTTTCATCCCTTTGAATGCAGTCTTGCAATCAACACTGAGTGTTTTTCTTTTTTTTTTTTACATTAGAGCCCTTCATATCTGAACAATGTTTTTTGGAAAACTCTACCTAGCACATGTATGACTGGGTCTTTTGGGTCTTACCGTGTAAAATGTTTGCTCTCTTCATGAACCTCCATCTCGGAGCTTTTAAATTCATTTAATTCTTTTCTTATGGCAGCCTGTGGAGTAGAAACAAAAATGTTTCAGCTTCTTCTGGCTGCTTTGTACAGCAGTGTAACTTGTCATTTTTTCTTTTTTTTTTTTAGACAGAGTCTTGCTCTGTCGCCCAGGCTGGAGTGCAGTGGCGCAATCTTGTTTTTTTTTTAGTTCCGTCTCCCGGGTTCACGCCATTCTCCTGCCTCAGCCTCCTGAGTAGTTTTTTTTTTAGGCGCCGCCACCATGCCCGGCTAATTTTTTGTATTTTTAGTAGAGATGGGTTTTTTTTTTGTTAACCAGGATGGTCTCGATCTCCTGACCTCGTGATCCGCCCGTCTCGGCCTCTCAAAGTGCTGGGATTACAGGCTTGAGCCACCGCGCCCGGCCGTCATTTTTTCTTTACTGTGTTTAACTTTGTAAGTCACTGCAACCCCTCACAGGCAACCCAGAGATACCCATCTGTCTCATAGTAAACCTAAAATTTCTAGTTTAATCAAAGTACTTGAAAATCTTGAAAAAGATATTGTAGCTTTTATACTTTTTTTGTTTTTGTTTCTTCCTGAGATGAAGTCTCCCTCTGTTGCTGAGGCTGGAGTGCAATGGCGCAATCTCAGCTCACTGCAACCTTCGGCTCCTGGGTTCAGGTGATTCTCCTGCCTCAGCCTCCCGAGTAGCTGGGATTACAGGTGCACACCACCATGCCCGGCTATTTTGTATTTTTAGTACAGATGGGGTTTCACCATGTTGGCCAGGCTGGTCTTGAACTCCTGACTTCAAGAGATCTACCTGCCTCGGCCTCCCAAAGTGCTGGGATCACAGGTGTGAGCCATTGCACCTGGCTAGGTTTTTTTTTTTTTTTTTTTTAATTTTTAATTTTTATTTACTTATTTTTTTTGAGACGGAGTCTTGCTCTGTCACCCAGGCTGGAGTGCAGTGGCACTATCTTGGCTCACTTCAAGCTCCGCCTCCAAGGTTCACGCCATTCTCCTGCCTCAGCCTCACGAGTAGCTGGGACTACAGGCGCCCGCCACCATGCCCGGCTAATTTTTCGTATTTTTAGTAGAGACGGGGTTTCACCGTGTTAGCCAGGATGGTCTCGATCTCCTGACCTCGTAATCCGCCCGCCTTGGCCTCCCAAAGTGCTGGGATTACAGGCGTGAGCCACCGCGCCCAGCCTTTAATTTTTATTTTTGAGATGGAGTCTCACTCTGCTGCCCAGGCTGGAGTGCATTCGCATGATCTTGGCTCACTGCAACCTCCACCTCCTGGGTTCAAGCAATTCTCCTGCTTCAGCCTCCCGAGTAGCTGGGATTACAGGTGCACGCCATCACAAACCCGGCTAATTTTTGTATTTTTAGTAGAGACGGGGTTTCACCATGTTGGCCAGGCTGGTCTCGAACTCCTTACCTCGAGGGATCCCTCCACCTTGGTCTCCCAAAGTGCTGGGATTACAGGCATAAGCCACCACGCCTGGCCAGCTTTTACAGTTTTTCACAGCATTATAAAAATGAGATATGCGTAATTACTAAAATATATAGCCCAAATTCTCTCTAACCAAACAACCACTGTTTAAAATGTATTCCTTCCAGTATTTTTACTCTGATATAGCAGGGATTTTCTTTCTTTCAGTATTGGTGGTGGAATTACCAAAACATTATACTGAGTTAGTATAACGTTTTGACTTGTTCAACTTGGCATTTTGTATCGTGATTTGAAATTTAATATTATATTAAAACTAAAGTTTTGTTTATGGTTCTCCCTTCTAGTTAGCATCTTGGATCCTCCAAATAAAGAGAAAAAGAGAAAGAGAAAAAGAGCAAGAGCGCGCTTTCCAGGTACCTTATCAGCAGGGGTCAGTTTGGTCCAAGGTTTGTCGGCTCGCCGGTCATAATCTTGAGCATCTGTTACCTCTACATATTCATTAAACCTCAGAATCTTCCTGGCAAGGAGTTCAGCCACAGTTGGCCTTTGACTGAGCTGAAGGAAATGGAGCCTCTTAGTTCACTAAGCCAATAATTAGGCATCAATCATGCATTCAAATTGCCTCTAACCCAGTGCTTCAATCTTCACTGGAATCACCTGGGGGAGCTTTATACACTATTGATCCCTGGAGGTCCAGCCCCCAGTGATTATGGTTATCTGGTGATTTTTTGTTTTGTTTTTTTTTGAGACAGGGTCTTACCCTGTCACCCAGGCTGGAGTGCAGTGGCACAATCACAGCTCACTGCAGCCTCAACCTCCCAAGCTCAAATGATCCTACTACCTCAGCCTCCCAAGTAGCTGATATTACAGGCACATACCACCATGCCCGGCTATTTTTAAATTTTTTTGGTAGAGATAGGGTCTTGCCATGTTGACTGGGCTGCAAATTCATTTTTTTTTTCATTTTCTTTCTTTTTTTTTTTTTTTAAATGTAGAGACAAGGTTTCACTGTTTTCCCTAGGCTGGTCTAGAACTCCTGGGCTCAAGCAATCCTCCTGCCATGGCCTCCCAAAGTGCTGGGATTACAGGCGCAAGCCACTGTGCCTAACTGCAAATTAATTTCCAATCAAATAGGTCATCCAAATATAACACATATAGTTAACTGAACACACAGGGAGTAGTACCTTTCTAGTGAGCCGACGTTTAATTTCTCGTTTTTCTGCCTGACGATCAGCTTCATTTTTAGCTACAGTTGACAATCAGAAGGAAGGAAGATTACTCACAAATGACAATGTGCACATCAAATGTTTTAGTAATTACATTACAGATATTTCTTTTTCTTTTCTTTTCTTTTCTTTTTTTTTTTTGAGACGGAGTTTTGCTCTTGTTGCCCAGGCTGGAGTGCAATGTTGCAATCTCGGCTCACTGCAACCTCCGCCTCCTGGGTTCAAGCGATTCTCCTGCCTCAGCCTCCCGAGTAGCTGGGATTACAGGCACATGCCACCATGCCCAGCTAATTTTTGTACTTTTAGTAGAGACGGGGTTTCACCATGTTGGCCAGGCTGGTCTCCAACTCCTGACCTCTTAAAAAAGTTGATATTTCTTTTTTTCTTTTTTCTTTTGAGACGGAGTCTTGTTCTGTCACCCAGGCTGGAGGGCAGTGGCGCAATCTCGGCTCACTGCAAGCTCTGAGTCCCGGGTTCACGCCGTTCTCCTGCCTCAGCCTTCCAAGTAGCTAGGACTAAGGCACCCGCCACCATGCCCAGCTAATTTTTTTGTATTTTTAGTAGAGACGGGGTTTCACCGTGGTAACCAAGATGGTCTCAATCTCCTGACCTTGTGATCCACTCGCCTTGGCCCAGATATTTCCTATAGGCCCAAATCAGAATAAAATACTAACTCTGGAGATGGCTAAACAAAACAATTTTCTTGTCAACGATACAAACAGGTAAGAGCAAGAGTCAGCAAACTATGGCACCACATCTTGCCGGTTGCCTGTATTTTTCCTGCCTATGAGCTAAGAATAGTCTTTACATTTTTAAATGGTTTTGTAAGTACCTATTACATATAGTTGTTCATTTGCTTTTTGGCCTGCAAAACCCCAAATTTTTACTATGTACGCTTTAAGGAAAAGCCTGCAGATTCTTGCTCAAGAGTAACTGCTAAGAATGGGCAATGGCGATTACATGGAGTTTTGTGTGATATGTCTATAAGGGCTCCCACACTAGAAAATTTACTAAGTGATTTAAGTTGTGTATACCCAAGTAGTGCTGAGAGAACAGGGGATGGATTGGTCAGACTGAACATGCTCACAAATAGCCCTGAGGAAACCCAAACCTTCTCAGTGAGGAAACTTTTAAGGCCAAATTTTACTCTATATTCTGGAAAAACAAATCAAATATGTGCCAGATTAGAATGCTATTTCAGGAAGTTAATTATGTACACAGACAGCAAATTAAATACCTGGTCCCATTTGGTAAGTACAGAGGTAAGAAAGTCTTAAGAGATTAAAGCAAGAGGAAAACTGCTGCATTTGGGACTTGCTTTGGGCCTCAGCCCTCAAATTCTAGGAATAGGAAGGTCTCCATATGCACAGCTACCTCCTTAGCTCCCTGAACACAGAAAAATTGGGCACATCTCCCATATTACTGTCAAATCCTCCCAAATGCCCAAGGCAGTTCCAGGATACGGTGAGAACACTGAAACAAAGCTTTCTAGAGTATCACAGCACACTAAACAGTACCATAATAGCATCTTCCAAAGGAAGCTTGGTGAGCTCTGTTCCTTCATGGGGAAATAAATAGTCCTTGCCTGGCTGGAACCCTCTCCCTTAGCCCTTGTAGCAAATGCTTCTTTTCTCTTTCATGTGTATTAAAGTCAGAAACATACAAAGAAAATCTATACAACTTTATTTCCATAACTGGACTCACGTTGCAATATATTGCGTTGTTCTAGTTCTTCTGGTGTTGGTCTTTGACTCAGTCGCCTAAAAATGAGATAAGGGTAATGTTTATGTTGAACCTCCTAATCTTGTTTATAAAGATTTTTTTGGTCACAGTATATATTAGCCCCTATATAAGTAAGAAATCAACAAATTTTCAAACCAATATGTTTCACTTACGATTGTTTATAAAACAATTTCACATTAAAAGTGTTAACACAGATATCGCATTATAAAAAGGAACTATATATGCAAACAAGTGGCCAGGATTCTAGTTCTAGACCTTGATAAGAGCTATTAGCACAAAAAAGTTCAGTTAGACCTTGGCCAGGCGCGGTGGCTGTAGCTTCGCAGTGAGGCCGAGATCGTGCCACTGCACTCAGGCTGCGGTGACAGAGCAAGACTAACATCTCAAAAAAAAAAAAAAAAAAGTTCAGTTAGACCTTTGAGTGTCCTATCTTGTGAAGCGAAGTTTCAGGATGGGCTCCTAAACAAATTTTTGCCCTTCAGAAGCGTTAGAGACTTTTTAGGAAACACAGATTCCCGGCCAGGGCGCGGGGCTCAAGCCTGTTAATCCCAGCCTTTGGGAGGCCGAGATGGGCGGATCACGGGGTCAGGAGGATCGAGACCATCCTGACTAACACGGTGAAACCCGTCTCTACTAAAAAATACAAAAAAACTAGCCGGGCGGATGGCGGCGCCTGTGCGGTCCAGCTACTCGGGGAGGCTGAGGCAGGGAGAATGGGGTGAACCCGGGAGGCCGGAGCTTGCAGTGAGCTGAGATCGGCACTGCACTCCAGCCTGGGCGACAGAGCGGACTCCGCCTCAAAAAAAAAAAAAAAAAAAAAAAAAAAAACACAGATTCCCAAGAAATGTTAACAGAAATTCTGATTCAGAAAATCAGGATGAAAAATAAATTACATCTATTAATATATAGATTTTTTTTTTACACAAATTCTCCTATGACTCAGATGTCTCTCTTTAGATTCTTAAAAAAATTTTTTAAAATAGAGATGGGGGTCTCACTCTGTTGCCAGGGATAGTCTTGAACTCTGGGCTCAAGTAGTTCTTACCACCTTGGCCTCCCAAACTGGCTGGATTATAGGTGTAGTGGCGCAATCTCGGCTCACGCAAGCTCTGCTTTCCAGTCATTCTCTGCCTCAGCCTCCCAAGTAGCTGGGACTACGGTGCCTGCCACCCATGCCTGGCTAATTTTTGGTATTTTTTAGTGAGACGAGGTTTCACCATGTTAGCCACGATGGTCTCGATCTCGCTGACCTCGTGATTCGCCCCCGTTGGCCCCCCCAAAGTGCTGGATTCAGCGTGAGCCACCAAGCCCAGCCATGCACAGCTAGGTTTATAAGGGATTTTTTTTTTTTTTTGAGAGGAGTCTCGTCTGTCGCCCAGGCTGTTTGGTGCCAGTGGCGCCTTCAGCTCTGCCTCCCGGGTTCATACTATTCTCCTGCCTCAGCCTCCCAAGTAGCTGGGACTACAGGTGACCACCACCACGCCCCGGCTAAGTTTTTGTATTTTCAGTACAGACGGGGTTTCACCGTGTTAGCCAGGCTGCTCTCAATCTCCTGACCTCGTGATCTGCCCGCCTCGGCCTCCCAAAGTGCTGGGATTACAGGCTTGAGCCACCGTGCCCGGCCACAGCTAGGTTTTTAAATCAGTGGTTTAGGAACCACTGGAATTTAAGTTTGTATCTTACTCGGTGATATTCTATAATTCTATGATTTAAATATCAGTCTTTTCTGTGAAGCATTTGATAAAGTTATCTCACCTCATCACAGTTCTGAGATGTTATTCACCAATAACAATTTGTTGGCCAGGTGTGGTGGCTCATGCCTGTAATCCCCAGCACTTTGGGAAGCTGAAGCCAGTGGCTCACCTGAGGTCAGGAACTCAAAACCAGCCTGGCCAACATGGTGAAACCCCATCTCTACTAAAAAACAGAAAAATTAGCCGGAGGTTGTGGCGTGCTCCTGTAGTCCCAGGTACTTGGGAGGCTGAGGCAGGAAAATGCTTGAACTGGGAGATGGAGGTTGTGGTGAGCTGAAGCTCACACTACTACACTCCTGCCTGGGCGACAGAGTGAGACTCCATCTTAAAACAAACAAGCAAACAAAAACTACAATTTGTCATTTCTGGAATCAGAAAGTTACTCATTTCTTTCTTTTAATTTATACTTCTCAGACAGTATTTGCACTAATTAGCTAGTACTTGCAAATTTTTCAACTCTTTTGTTGCTTGCATAAGGAACTTCCAGTCCCATTCTACATACAACTTTTCTTTCTGAACAATACCTTCCTTTTTTTTTTGAGTCAGGGTCTCACTCTGTACCCAGGCTAGAGTGCAGTGGTGCGATCACAGCTCCATCTCCTAGGCTCAAATGATCCTCCTACCTCAAGGACCTTCCATTTTATTTATTTATTTTTATTTTTTTTGAGACAGTCTTGCTCTGTCGCCCAGGCTGGAATGCAGTGGCTTGATCTCGGCTCATGGCAACCTCCGCCTCCCAGGTTCAAGCAATTCTCCTGCCTCAGCCTCCCAAGTTGCTGAGTACAGGCACCTGCCACCATACCCGGCTAATGTTTTTGTATTTCCAGTAGAGACGGGGTTTCACTATGTTGGCCAGGTGGGTCTCGAACTCCTGACCTTGTGATCTGCCTGCCTTGGCCTCCTAAAATGCTGGGATTACAGGTGGGAGCCAATGTGCCTGGCCTCCTTTTGTTTTTTTCTGAGACTGAGTTTCACTCTGTTGTCCAGGTTGGAGTGCAGTGGTGCAATCTTGACTCACAACAACCTCTGCCTCCCAGGTTCAAGCAATTTTTCTGCCTCAGCCTCCTCAGCAGCTGGGACTATAGGCATGTGCCACCACGCCTGGCTAATTTTTGTATTTTTAGTAGAGACAGGGTTTCACCATGTTGGCCAGGCTAGTCTCGAACTCCTGACCTCAGGTGATCCACCCACCTTGGCCTCCCAAAGTGTTGGGATTACAGGCGTGAGCCACTGCGCCCTGCCTGTATTTGTTTTTTAGGGCTGCTCTAAGAAATTACCGCAACTGTGTGGCTTAAAAAAAAACAGAAATGTATTCTGTCATAGGTCTGGAGGCTAGAAGTCCAAAATCAAGGTATTGGTAATATTGGTTCCTTCTGAAGGCTCTGAGGGAGAACCTGTTCCACGGCTCACTCCATGCCTCTGGTGGCTGCTAGCAATCCTTAATATTCCTTGGTCTGTAAACATATCATCCATGGCCATGCACGGTAGCTCATGCCTATAATCCCAGCACTGTGGGAGGCCGAGGTGGGTGGACTACCTGAAGTTAGGAGTTCGAGACCAGCCTGGCCAACATGGTGAAACCCTGTCTCTACTAAAAGTACAAAAATTAGCTGGGCATGGTGGCAGGCACCTGTATTCCCAGCTACTTTGGAGGCTCTGGCAGGAGAATCGCTTGAACGTGGGAGACAGAGGTTGCAGTGAACTGAGATCGCACCACTGCACTCCAGTCCTGGCTACAAGAGTGAAACTCCGTCTCAAAATTAAAAAAACAAAAAACAAAAAAACCGTATCATCCCGACCTCTGCTCTGTCACATGGCAAACTCCCCATGTATGTCTGTGTCCAAATTTCCTTCTTAAATAACACTAGTCATTGGATTAGAGCCCACCATAATCTAGAATGATTTCATCGTAACTTGATTATACCTGCAAAGACTCCACTTCCAAGTCAGGTCACATTAACAGGTACTGGGGGCTAGGACTTGAACATGTGTTTTTGGGAGACACAATTTTACCACCTATAAACCCCATCCCATTTCATCACATTCTTTTATAATTTCATCCTCCCTAACCCAAGGCAAATAATGATCTGCTTTCCATATAGATTTTCTATAATTTTATGTAAAATGGACTCAAAGAGTGTGTTCTTTTTTGTCTAGCTTCTTTTACTTAGCGTAACTGAGATCTACCTAAGTTGTGACATTGGCAATCATTCTTTCCTCTTTATTGCTGAGTAGTATTTCTTTGTTTTTGGAGAAACTGAGTCTTGCTTTATTGTCCAGGCTGGAGTGCAGTGGTGTGATCTCAACTCACTGCAACCTCTACTTCCTGGGTTCAAGCAATTCTCCTGTCTCAGCCTCCCCAGTAGCTGGGATTACAGTTGTGTGCCACCACACCTGGCTAATTTTTGTAATTTTAGTAGGGACAGGGTTTTACCATATTGGTCAGGCTGTTCTTGAACTCCTGACTTCAGCTGATCCACCTGCCTCAGCCTCCCAAAGTGCTGGGATTACAGGCATGAGCCACTGCGCCCTGCCTGCTGAGTAGTATTTCATTATATGAATATACCACAGATTGTTCACATCTATTCACTTATTGATGGATGTTTGGGCTGTTTCTAGCTTTTGGCCATTACTAATAACAGCCAATGGAATGGCTGGATCATATGTAGAAGTATGTTCAATTTTTAAAAAAACTGCCAAAGTGTTTTCCTAAATACTTCTATTGTTTACATCCTTATTACCAGTGTATGAGAATCCAGTTGCTCCTCATCCTCAGCAACTCCTGGTGTTTATTTATTTCTTTTCTTTTCTTTTTTTTTTTTTTTTCTTTCTCTGTCACCCAGGATGGAGTGCAGTGGCCTGATCTTGGCTCACTGCAACCTCTGCCTCCCAGGTTCAAGCAATTCTTCTGTCTCTGCCTCCTGAGTAGCTGGGATTACAGGTGTGTACCACCACACCCAACTAATTTTTGTTTTTTGTTTTTTTTTTTGAGACGGAGTCTGGCTCTGTCGCCCAGGCTGGAGTGCAGTGGCCGGATCTCAGCTCACTGCAAGCTCCGCCCCGCCGGGTTCACGCCATTCTCCTGCCTCAGCCTCCCGAGTAGCTGGGACTACAGGCGCCCGCCACCTTGCCCGGCTAGTTTTTTGTATTTTTTAGTAGAGACAGGGTTTCACCGTGTTAGCCAGGATGGTCTCGATCTCCTGACCTTGTGATCCGCCCGTCTCAGCCTCCCAAAGTGCTGGGATTACAGGCTTGAGCCACCA